GAGAGAGAGAGAGAGAGAGAGAGAGAGAGAGAGAGAGAGAGAGAGAGAGAGAGAGAGAGAGAGAGAAAAGCGAACCTACCTGGGAAGCTGGTGATGCGGCATGAACCAAAAGCCAAGCTACATGTTGAACTGCAGGGCCCGCTAGCGGGCCAATTTGGACGGGCAATCATGCGGGGTAGGAATGAAAGTAAAATAAAAAGAAAGCATAATAAGTATCGATGTATCTCTCCGTATTCTTGCGGAAGATTCATTGTGGTTTTTGCTAATTTTCTTTTAGAAATAACATCTCAATCTCTCTGTGTGCATGGCTGAAAACTGGTGTGGATTGCCTTATTCAGGCGGAAGTTTCATCTCGACTTTGCTCACCCTGACAAAGGAAGCAACCACTCGCTCTCTCTCGCGCACAGGAGTGGTGTAGCAGTCGTGATCACCATACTGACCGGTCGTCACCATCAAGGCCGCCTCCGCCGTTTGATCGTGGTAACAATCGGGGCCATCACTATGACCTTCACTCCCCATACTGCTTTTTGCTATGTTCGCCACTATGATCACGTGCGCAATCCCCGTTTGAGTGCAGCTGCTCGTCGTGCCCGCCGCCCGGTGGTCGTCACCACTAGTTGGATCTGACAGTAAGTGTGACCAGGTACATTAATATGAAGGAGAGGGGAGGACGAGCCTGGCGCAAAGTGGTTATGCTGAGGCGGGGACAAGCAAGAATTGGGCGATGTACCTCCTCATATTTTGAGAGAAGGTTTGTTCTCATTCTTGCACGTGTGATGAGTAGTGGGGTGCGGCCATTGTCGTGCATGCCATTGACGTGATCGTGTTGATCGAAATGTTGCCCATTTAGTTGTGCTCACCATCATTATTATCAGATCAGGTTGTTTATCTTCGTCGTCATCATTATCGACAGGCTCCATGGTTGTCATCATGGCCAACATTAGCCGGATCAAAGCTGCCCGCTATCGTATCTGCAAGTGTGAAGTGAAGATGGGAGTTGTGCTAAGTGCTACTACACAAAGGGCTTACAATAGGTGGATGTATCTTCCCATGTTCTAGTGGGCGATTTATCTATTATACGCATTTGGGAAGTAGGGGAACGAGACTGCTTTTGCCATGATACGGAGGGGATTGCAGTTTGGTGCATCAGGCAAGATACGGTGTATTTCTTCCTGTTCAATTGTTGTGGGTCCCCACAACGGAACTTAATGTTGTGTCATGCAGCTTGCTGCTATTGGGATTGCAGTGCAGCCTAGCCTGTGCTTTTGTAAACTCGGTTAGTGTTTTTGTGACCCAACCTGTGTACCTTGAGTAGTTGCCTGTCTTCGCACGTGCCATTGCAGCTTCTGACGGGAGTGAGAATGCGTGCCTAGTCATGGCGGTCGTCTGATTGGTCGAGATCTGAATGTGCTTTGGTAGCTGCTGCAGCTACCTTGAAGACCGCATATTGCTGATTCTTAAGTTAGATAAATGATTTCACTACCACGGATTGTTGCGCATTGCTGTACACACAGTACCTTGCGCCTTTGTTGCGTTCGTGATATGCATCGATGATCCTGCTAGGCTGCTGCTATACGCTGCTCCGTTTGTTGTGTATCGGGGATATGCGTTGTTGTGTCTTAACTTGTCCATTGCTACGCCTTTGTTGTGTGGCGCTGCTGTTTATTACATTTTGACATTGGTTACTACCTCAGTGACTTTCAGCTACGCACGGTTGCTGTGCGCACAGAGTTATGCTAAGTTTTTGTTGGGACTTGCTCTCGTCTCGAGCGAGAGCGAAGGGCTGTGCACTATTCAAACGCACTCGTTTTAGGCTGTGTAACGACTTTCGGATCAGAGGGAACGGTATCACAGCTTGAGAGAGTGATTCAGCACTGCAAAGACTAACTGCAGCCATTTAGTTCCTCAGGCTTGCGGCTGAGCATGACTGCTGTGCTTCGTTGTGTTTTATTGCATTACACCACGTCTCGCATTGCACTTTGTTGTTGGGCACCGTCGCTGCATGAACTGTTATAGTCTGGTGTGCTCTATTTGAACGTCAGTGTTCTAGGCTGCGTGGCGGCAGTTTAGGCTGGGGGGAGGCACTATATTGGTGAGGGGGTGATCAGGCTCTACAAGAGGGTGACTGTTGCGACTTCAAGGATCCTCAGAGGCATTTTGCTCGTCGTGACGGCTTATAGTTTGACCATCTTACTATCCGTTTTGGCCGCCATAGTGGGGCCCTAAGGAGTTGAAGATTTCAAGGTCCTCCCTCTTACGCGAGTTTGAGAGCACCCTCCTTGTTTCTGAGAGACTCAAAGACCTCTGCTTCCGCCCTTCTTACTCTAAGCCTAATATGAGGTTACGAGAGAAAGGCGGCAGGCGGGACTGCAACCCGTAGGAACGCATCAAGACTCTTTGGGGAGTTAGCCCACCGATTGCGAGAGCTCAGCCGGAGCTCGGGCGGGGTTCTGGAGGCAGGGAACACTCAGGTATAATGTTTTTTTTACGTGTGTGATCCCATCCCTTAAACTACACTATCCTTTGCTACTATGTGCCTGCAGGTATGACTGAGAAAGCTAGCTGTTTTTGTTTGTTTTGAATTCAAGATATGATCTGAAAGCTAAAATTCGTAAGTATATATGAAAAACTCAGATTATTTGTATGAATTCAGAAATAATGAATGAGGGAAGGTGGGATGAAGGTACTCTGCTTGTGTTTGACTGGGTCAACCCAAGGCCGAATCCCTCTAAGTTGAGTGGGTTCAATGCTATGTTTTATTTGTGTTTGTTGGGCTACAATGGTTTGGACAACATTGATTGACGACGGACCCAAATTATGAGGAGGTGGCTACAAAGGCGAGGCAACTTAGTCTATTGCATACTTTGTGTCTCTTTCTGGTATTCCTCAATATTCAGTATGTGGAGCCTCGACTGTCGGTGGTCATTATAATTGTATGTCTATTCACATAACAAATGGTGCGGGAGGGAGGAACTACAGTGTACATCAGGTGTTCTCTGGCGCCGGGCCCAGGGTGAAGAGGCTCAGGGGGTTTTTGGCGTCGGCCCAGGGTGAAGCGGTTGCTGACAGACGATGTAAGTATGAATTCAGTATGGCTTTGGGGAGGGAGAAACTAGTATCTAGCTGTGTACCTGGCACCGGATTCAGGGTGAAGAGGTTCCTCATTTCCTCCACTATCCTGCTAAGTCAATCCCCTGGTTCCCAGGATAATAAATGCTGGTAGAAACGCTCCATAATCGTCTCTGATGTATCTCCAATTCAGTTTGTATAAGGGACGCTGGACCCGATTCCCAGCAGGTGATGCTCCCCACCAATGGACGGAGCCTCTCCCAAGGTGTTAGTGGTGTCTGCTCTT